TTGAAGATGTCCGGACTTCAACTCCCAGAATTCCCCAGCCAGCGAATTCGCTGGCTGGGGAATTCTGGGAGTTGAAGTCCGGACATCTTCAAGTTACCAAGGTTGAGAAACACTGTCCTGGAGCTTATCACTTCTTTATCTGAAAAAGTTGTAGGCAGACTCCAGAAACTTTCTAAATGTCTAGGCATCATAAGTTAATAAAGTATTATTTTCTCAGATTGTTTACTAATGGTTTGTGGCCGAAGCTAATGGTTGCCTTGCTTTTGATCTTGTCCTTTCAGTCCAATTTTACATTTGATAAATTGGTAGGTTGTTGCAGAAATATCATTACTTGCAAATGTGGTTTTATGCCGATAATATCCAAAGGTCTATGCAATCCTGCCCTTAATATATCATCATGTATTGGGAATCTCAAAATGCTGCAATACAATTTCAGCACACAGAGGACAAAGCAAAAAAAGGGACACGATGGGAACAAGACTAGCGCAGACTTACCGTGCTAAAAATATTTGTGGTTAATATTTAAAGATTAAGTGGGAAATCAGGAAGGGCAAACGGATTAACCTGTACTAATCTGCCGTACCAGAAAACTAATAACAAGGCCATAGATAGCTCTTATCTCGCGATATGTGAACAGATATCCTTCAGATGTAAGAGCAAGCAAAACAAACAGAAAGGGAAAGCCAGCTAGATTTCCAGTTCATCCACCTGTTATCACTAAAAGTCACCCAGAAATAACAAGACAACTACTGATCTGATTTGGGAAATCCATTAAAGCTAGATAATGGAGATTATCTTCCGACTTTCATTTGCACCACGGATAAAAAACATCTTTCCTTTATATTCAGTCACTCTGAACATATTCAGTAATGTGGACTTGTTTTCGGGAGAACTGGGGGATCCGAAGCCTTCAGGGTGTCCCAACTCTACAACCAACTCTATGAGATGACCTTTGGGGGGTAGAATTTATAGAGCCGAGGTGACGCAGTGGTTAAATGCAGCACTGCAGGCTACTTCAGCTGACTGCAGTTCTGCAGTTCGGCT